GGGGGAGAGAATCATCTTGGAATATAGAATTCTGTTATGGACAGAGGGTAGTAGCCACACTGTAGGAGCCTAACTCTGGTAGTAGGATTATTCCTTCTGTATTTCCTTTTCATCACAAAATAATACAAACATTCCCTGATTTACTGTTTCATTGTCATCTTAATTTTTGGTTCCTTACGGTTTCACTTATTGAAAGTTTTATGGACTCTTTAATTTGAGAAATGTTAAAATACATTTTTAGCCCTATAGTTTCATTGACATTACCTTTTAGTCCCTATAGTTTAAAATATATATTTTTAGTTTCTATACTTAAATTTTAAAATCCTTTTTAGTCCCTGTTGTTAATTTCTTTGTAATGCAGTTCCTGTGTGAGGGGCGTGAGTTTATTAAATCCACGCGGCAGTGATATATTTGGGTTTGTGGATATGGGAGGGGAAAAATAAGAGTTTGGATGGTTTTTGTGGACAGTCAATATTACTGTGACTAAATGTGATCCATAATAGTGGTCTAATTGTTGATGATAGTATAATAAATCATTAAATGACACATTGTCATCCAAGAAACCTAATACATTCCTGCCTCATGAATTTAATAAGCTCATGTCACTTCCATGGAAACAGTGTTATAAATAAATGGTAGGGACTAAAAAGGATTAAAAAATGTTAATATAGGAACTAAAAAGGTCTATTTTAAACTATAGGAACTAAAAAGTCTATTTTAAACTATGAAACTAAAAAGTAAAGTAAATGAAACTATAGAAACTAAATATTTTAACCTTTAAGAAAATATTTTCTGTTTTTATTTTTTGCTTTCACTACTAATTACAAAATTATCACCTTATTTTCATTTTTTCTGTTTCAAAGTTTTATACAGGAAATAATTTTCGTTGGTTTTTTTACTTTGGAAAACAAAAATCAAATGAAAACATTGACTTTTCTGTAATTAAAAGTGAAATTTGTAAAATGAAAACTTAAAACATTTTCTCAAATCGATGTCTTTGCTTGAGGAGTATTCTGTCTTATCAGAATGACAGTAAGCATGTTTTCCCCGGTGCTGTGTGCAGCTGACTTGTACTTTTATAATTTTGTTGCACTTCTTAACCCAATTTAGTGTGTTTGGATTGGTAGTGAGTTGAAGTCACGACGATTTTTGGAAGCAACAACTATTTGCTTTTGTGGTGAGCTCACTATAATTTACTTCATTTGTTATCTTCAAAAATCATGGTGAGTTCAACTCACCATTAATCCGAACACACTTAGATTAGATACACTTTTAGGAAAATAAATAGGGAGGTTTACTGAATCAAAAATTTTTCATCTTAAAATCAAGTGATGCACTTCAAATTTTAGAGAGAAGTTATAGCTTATGTAAAAAGTTTGATTCATTTTATTTCCTTGTTTTTTTTTATAAGAGCTTGTTGAGAAGTTTATGTAAAATGGTCCTTTTGATAATGTGATTATGAGTTATAAGAGTGGTCTGTCTAATAAGGTATTCATCATGCTTGTCAGGTTTGTATGCTGGAATACGATGGGGTATCACTGTCCGGGGTCCCCGCCTTTTGCAACATTTTGAGCTAGCTAAGCTAAAGGTACTTCTTGCATTGAAACAGAGGTTTTAGCGGCTATTATCATCATCATCCATTTTTGCCAGTCCCATGATTTATGCGATGCTGAACTGGATTTCCTGTTAGTCCCATTTTGAATACTGTAAGCATGTGTTTTGAAATACGGTTTGGTCTGTTGGGATATTGGTGTAAATTTTTTCATGTCTCCCATTCCCAGTTTCCTTCTGTTTCAGCATGCCTGTGAGCAAATTGTAATGGATATCTATCTTCGGTGCGGTCATTTTTGTGTGAACTTGCATATTAAAGTATATTTTACATTAAGGCGTATTATTTTTCACGATTCTTCGCATTTCAAATGACAAGAGTGGTGATAATACCTATTACTGTCTTAGTTTTATTGTGGTTAAAATTGAATATTATAATTTTTCTAAATAAGACGATTTTATAAGATCGTGAGAAAAGTGAACTTGCTTTCAGTTTTCAATCTCACTGCAGTAACCAAATCTTGAATTCATTATAAAGTGTGTTTAACAGTTGGTGAGTGTTTAGCTAAAAACGTTTTTCTTTTGTACTTGATTTGAAACTTGGATCAATTCAACTCATTAAAAGAAGAGTTAATCACCTATATACTGTCTGTTTAAAGTTTTTTTTACACTGGCAGTCAATTAGAGTCGTTAATAGTATTTTTTTATCTTATCATTTAATTAAATTAAAATAAAAAAGTACTATTAACGGTTCTGATTGACTGTCAGTGTAAAAAATTTTACACTGACAGTGTATAGGTGATTAACTCTTAAAAGAATAATGAAGGCGGGTCTAGTGATGGATTTGGAATACTTATAAGATCGATTTTTATTTTTTGAATTGTTACAATAATTTTTCTTGTTAATAAAAAAATGCAACTCATTACATTAGAGATATAGGGTGATTGGGTAATTTTTTTTTTGTAGTTTTCATTTTGTGAATTCATTATCTCCTTTAATTTGGATAGAAATTATATTTAAAGACATGCAAATTTTTATTACCGAGACTCATGGCATATGATCCTCTCGTCTGAATGTGAATCTACTAGCAAAATAGAAAATACAAAGCATGAAGCTTAAAAAGAAATTCTAAAAATTATTTCATGTTGGATTTGTCCACTTGGCATTGTAATACATCTTTTTGTTTATCTTATTTTTTGAACAGCAAAGAAACTCCACTTGACACACACAGTAATACATATTTTGTTTTTTTTTTTAATAGCAAAGAATTTTTTTTTATTAAGAAAGTCAAGGTACTACAATGTGTGTCGTACAAAAACATTTGTACATTTTTATGTGCATACATAAAAAAAAAACTATAATCAAGTTGCATGCAAAAATGTGAATGAACGAAGGAAGCGGTTAGTGAAAAGTACATATCAATTTCACCAAATTTAGAACATCTATCCGTGTGTTTGCATCCGCGTTTTAACGTGGTTTTTCACGTTTAACTTGAAGCAATGAATAATTGCTTCTACGTAAATCCGTATGTAAACGTGGAGAGAGACGAAAGAATTGCGTTTCAAAATGAAAAGCAAACACCCACTATGTTGATAATTGATAACACATTTTTTATAGTAGTTTGACTAAAAAGCATGAATAATAATATTTCTTCTATCATGAATTGTGCATTCCATGCATTTTAAGAGGCATGACCCCTCTTAGTGCACTCATAATGTTGTTTTCTGCATTAAACCACACCTTCCTTCATCACCTCTAACCAACCCCACCAAGTCAAGGGGTTCATAATCCAAGAACCCCCTAAATAACTAAACATTTTAATTTTTGTTTTCAATTAATTTCATGTTTTAATTTAGTAACTTCAGTAACTTTATAACATAGAACAATCATTAAGATAAAAAAAAAGTAATTAAATTTGTTTTTTAATTAATTCTATCATAATATACATTTTATTTCAAAGATATTTTTTTTAAGTGGTTGTTATATTTATTGTTAATTATAAATGAATTTATAAGAAATAGATAGTAATTAACTAAAGGTATAAAAGAAATTTACCTTTAAATAACTTTAAAAAGTAATGATTATTTTTATATTTAGAACAAAAAACATTAATTTATTACTTATAATTATGAATAAAAGTAATATTTATTAAAACTTACTTTTTATTAAACATTATAACATTCTTAAGATCAACCCACATTATTGCAATTTACGTCATCCTTCAACCCTTTTCATCCCATCAAATCCATAAATAGTTAAAAATAACTTTTATCTTTATTATGTAACACTAACATATCCCATCAATGATAAGCACATTAACCATGTATGAAAACAAAAATCATGAATACTCCTAAAACAAATAGTTCTCCATTTCACCCCACAAACCATACCTCTTCATTTAACAAAATCCCTCTTTTCCAATTTTTTTTTTTTTGAGATATTCTGTTCTATAGAACATTCCAAGCAAATAATGTTACCTTCAGGGCTATTCCCATCCAACAAAAATTTTCATCTTAGTCCTTATCTCAGCTGTTAGCCTTTTATAAACCAATATAATATTTTAAACATCTTGTTTATCTTTTTTGCCACCTAAACTTGTCTCACTCTTCCTTATTCCAAAGGCAAACAGCCCACTGTCTGCTCAAGATTTTCCACTAGCTGCTCCTCCCATTGAAGCAACTCTCTCCTCCAACTCCACACCCATATCCATGAACTACCCACCCATCTTCCAAAATCTGCTACCCTTGTCTCTTTATTGCTTGAAATGCTGTATAGCCTTTGAAAATTGTCATTCAAAGGTTTCGTCCCAACCCAAGTATCCAGCTAAAAAAATCTTCCTCTTATCCACTACCACCCTTATCACTAACTCCTAAAACCAATCCCTACCCTCCACACCTCACTCCCCTCGGCCAGATCCCTTCTTTGATTTGCACAAGTCTCCTTTCCCATCTCTATAAAGACTATGCAAAACTTTATACCACAAACTTTCCTTCTCCACAAGCATATGCCATAAATACCCTCTCTCATGCCACCCAATACACCTTCTTCACCTCTTCATTTCCTCCTCACAAGAATATTTTAAACAAAGCCTTAATCTTGGTCCTAACACCCACATGACCTTTAAAAAAAGATAGATAATAAATTGGTATGGCTGTCAACCCTAAATGTTTGCTTCTGTCTATGAATGAAATTTTCTCCGAATATCAGCTATCACTAGTTCCGATGTTGACAACTTTATCGGATTTTCACCCATTGACAAACTCAAATACCTTAAAAGGAAGCTCCCCCACACTACATATCAGAGTAAATGTTATCTACTTTAACAATGTGTCTACTACATTAACACCCAACAAAGGCTCTTTTATTTGTGCATGTTACCAAAATCATTATGCTACAACTACCTTAATAATTAATTGAGACACAAATTCTTATATTTTATCTCACTTAGAGTGCTGTTTTAAAGATTAAAATTAATGGTACTTGATACTCCATTTGTTTACATAAAAGAAGCAACATTAAAACTAGTTCTGTTTTTATTAGAAATGTGAATTTAGAATCTGCTTTAACAGAATTTTTTTTTTGAAAACTTAATTCTACATAATGTGTTCAAATTAAACATATGCTCTTTTGCTAAAATTTAGTTGGCAAACCCATGCGATGTGTTCGGCCTATTAATCAAATGGACTAGTTGGCAAACCCATGGGATGTGTAGGGCCTATTAATCAAATAGACTAATTATAATTTATTTTTAACTTACTAAATTTTGACACTCTAACCATTTTTGTCTGAAATTTATTTCTCAATTTTAATATTTGTTATGGAAAAGTCCTTTCATCAATATTCCTCTATTTTATATTTTCTAAATCCATATTTTCTATTAGAATAATCTCCAAGAAGCACTTACTCATTTTAGACCTTTTTGTACTTAAAACTCTTGGATCGAAATCTATCCAAAATAAAGAGAAATTCAAAAAGTTTTGCTTCTTTGAAATCCTAATTTTATATAGATATATACAATTTCTACTAAAATTTTGAATGCTCAACCTTTTAAATTATTTAACATTTCAAATTCATCCTATATTCATAATCTGTCGACTATAAATAAAGATTTGACATTATAGGTAATGAAAATTATTAAAATGTAAGAATTTAAGATTGAGTGTTTGCATTAAGTTCAAATCTTAAATATGCAATTGTGTCAAATATCTATACACAAAAATTTATAATTCATAATCATCTTACCTTACTCAAATATGATTGTCTTTGATTGATGTTATCAGTTGTGTATACCAAAAACAATTATAGCAATTTTAAAATTAGAACTAGGAAAAAATATTAGACAAATAGTATTGATCACTAATTATAACCAAAGAATGAAATGTAGTTAAAGTTATTTTATTTTATTTTAATAAATTGGCCTTAATTTAGCCTTAAAATTGTGCTCTGAATACATTGGGGAGCAACATGAAAAATATGATTTTCAGCAAGATTTATAGAATTCTTACCTAAACATCTCTTAAAATTGAGAGAATAATCATTTTTTAAAACTCCTTTCAAAAAATTAAACTAAATCAAACCAGCGCTAACTCTTAAAAGATATCCATATAAGAATTAAGAAGTGAGCTTTTGGGCCATAATCTTATGGACTAGAGTTCGGTGGGTTAGAACCACAAAATAAAATATAAAAATAAATAAATAAAAGAACTATTTATGTGTACTGTAGATGCACATCAACTCTAAGTAGGAGTCCAAATTAAAATAAAATAATTATCTATAAAAGGAAAAATTCAAAAGTATCATAGATAAAAATAACAAACTATAAGATTAACATGCTTATTCATTATAGTTTAAATTCCTTCATCTTATTGTATACAATGACGATGATATATATCTATCTTTTTCATAACATGCTTATTCATTATAATGTGAACTCTTTCATCATATTCTACGTACAAAAGGACAATGATGTATTTAAATAGATGCTATCTTCCTCATTTATCTACATATAATACTAAAGTTCTCTACCGTCACATGTCACTTTTTTTTTATTTTATTTATTTATTAAATTTAATCAGTTCATTTCTTCCAATTTGTTGTTAATTCAATTTAATTTCAATTACCTTTTTATTTTACTGATAAGTAACTAAAATATTTTTATTTTACTTTTATGATAAATTTGAATACAAATCATTTTGTTTTATAGTTGTGTTAATAATATTTGTTTTACAATTTATTTTGTTTATGCTTCACAAATTATTTGAAGTATGTGGAGTAGTTTAAAGATATCAGCTGCCTGTGAAAAATGTAAACCTTTTCGTGAATGAATGAACGAAGTTTCCCAACTTATCTATATTTA